TGGAGGCTTTCCCCGCGCGCCCGCGCCCAGCCCGGCGGCGCCGCCCCTCCTCCCTCCTCGTTCCCACACCCAAAATAGCCTCTCCTCGTCTCTGCTGTTTCCCACAGAGCTCGCTTCTAAGCGCCTCGGAGTTGGCTGGCGGGGATTTCGCTTACTGGGAAATAAATCCCGTTGTAGGGCTGGTTGACTTGCAGGGAGAGGTGTTGACAGGGGGCCTGATTAACAGAACAGTCACGGGGGTTGCACCGGAGTGCCCTCCAGAGCCCTAATCCCCCTTATTGACTAAACCTCTTTCCCATAAAAATAGTTCTCCTCCTCCCATCCTCAAACTGGTGGGAAGAAGCCACAGGATGAGGCCGCCGTATTGAATAGCGCGCACGCGGGAGCACCACCTGTGCAGGTGAACGAGCCCCCTCCGGGCTGCTAAGTGTCGTTTATTGAATCACCTTGACATCTGCAGCTGGGACCAAGGATCGTGTTTCATCGCAGCAGATACGACGCGAGAAAGAACTGCTAGCACCCCTCTACGCCCATTTCTTCTGCTGCACCCCCCTCGCAGGGCGTCCTCGTTCTTTCCACCTTCCTGACAATGCTGGATTCCCTTCGCGATGCGCAAGGTTGCTTCCTCTCGGTGGGCGGGAGTTGGGGGCCCCATCTTTGCCTGTCTCGCTGCCTCTGGTTCACACCTCTGGCGCAGACGCTAGTACTCACCCAGTACAGGTGTCCTGGCCTGTCTCTCTCGCCAGCCCCAGCCCCTCCAACCCAGAGGAAGGAGCGTGACATACCAGAAGAACCTGAGCTGGGGAGTCAGACTGAGCTGTTTTGGAATCCTCACTCCTGCATTTGTGTGTGGTCTTGGGTATTCAGCGCCTATTTTCTCACCTATAAAATGGAATCATGCCCCTCACTCAAAGGGCTGACACTCATTCAATCAGCAATATTTATTGGATGCGGGCCAAGTGCTAGAAACTATGCTTAGCTCTAAGACACAACGGTGAATAAAAAAAGATCCAGGGCTCAGTGGCTCAGCCTGTAATCCCAGCACTTTGGGAGGCCGAGGTGAGTGGATTGCCTGAGCCCGCGGGTTCGAGACCTGCCCGGGCAACTTGGCAAGACCTCATCTCTACAATAAAATCAAAAACTAGCCGGGCCGGTAGCACGTGCCTGTAGTTCCGGCTACTTGGAAGGCTGAGACAGAAGGAGCCCAGCAGGTCGAGGCTGCGGTGGCCGGGAGCAGCCACTGCACTCCAGTCTGGGCGACAGAGTGAGATTCCAACTCAACAAAAAAAAATCACTCTCTGCTTTTGTGGAGCTTGCAGCCTGACAAACGTTAATCAAATAATCACAGACATGTGTAAAACTGTCATTGCGACCAGAAGAGTCGTGGCCTTGAGTCTTGTGATGTGGAGATCTGAGCTTACAGCAGCCTTTTGGCGCTATAAAGGATTATCCTTTGCCTTTCTCCATGGGATTTCTATGTTCTCAGTAAATACATATTGAATTGAATCTTATGCCATGTTATCACTTAGTTTCCCAGAGACTTTCTGCCATTTCAAAAATATTTAAAATGTAGGTCACTTGCCACAGTATCTGGAAAGTTGTGCAGGTGCAAACCCAGAGCCCGTCACGAAGAGTCCAGAAAAAGGCTGAAAATGTTTCTTGCCTGTCTCCGTTGGCTTGCCTTCCAGTGTGCAGGGTGTGCATCTCAGACGGACCGACACATGACATCCCCTCTGTCTGGTTTCCTCTTTCTCCTTACTTCTCTACTCTTTCCCTGCTCCCTCTCTCTCCTTTTGTCCCTCCCTCCTCCAGTCAGAGCCTCAGGACACTCATTCCTGGTTTCCTAGAAGGGTGACAGTAGATCCTTGTGTTTCTCAGAATGGAGCATCTATAAAACGAAGGAAACTCCCTCTTGCTACTTCTGATGGCCTTCAAAGGTGAATTTTAATATTTTATTTGCTACAAAACTCACTCATTCTCAAGGGTAGGGAAGGAGAGGCCCTGAAAGGTGAGAGGCTCTTGACATCTATGTGCACCATTCTATTTCAGTTGACTTTAATTTCCTTTTTAAAAGTTATACCAATTAACAAAATCCAGTATTTAAAATGATTCAAGGCCAGGCATGGTGGCTCACACCTGTAATCCCAGCACTCTGGGAAGCCAAGGGAGAGGATCCCTTGAGCCCGGGAGTTTGAGACCAGCCTGGGCTGGTCATAGTAAGACCTCATATCTACAATAAATCAAAAAAAATTAGCTGGGTGTGGTGGTACACGCCTGTGGTTCCAGCTAGTTGGAAGGCTGAGGCAGAAGGATCACCTGAGCCCAGCAGATTGAGGCTGCAGTGCCCATGAACGTGCTACTGCATTCCAGCCTGGGCAACAGAGTGAGACTTTGAATAAAATTTTTTAAAAAATCAGCCTGTAATCCCATGCTTTGGGAGGCCGAGGTGAGTGGATTGCCTGAGCCCGCAGCTTTGAGACCCGCCTGGGCAACTTGGCGAGACCTCATCTCTACAATAAATCAAAAAATCAGCCAGGCGTGGTATCGCGCGCCTGCAGTTCCAGCTACTTGGAAGGCTGAGGTGGAAGGATCGCCTGAGCCCAGTAGATTGAGGCTGCAGTAGCCAGGAGTGTGCCACTGCACTCCAGTCTGGGCGACCGAGTGAGACTCCAACTCAAAAATAAAATAAAAATCAAAAACTTAGCCAGACCTGTAGTCCCAGCTATTAGGGAGGCTAAGGTAGAAGGATCACCTGAGCCCAGGAGGTCGAGGCTGCCATGAGCTGTAATCATCACGATCATGCCACTGCACTCCAACCTGGGCAACAGAGTGAGATCACAACTAAAAAAATAAGGATTAAAAAAAAAAAGATTCACTACTGATAAAACAAATAATTGTAGTTTCTTCAAAACATGAATTTCTCAATATGAACCAAGGTTTCAAAGCAGTCTTAATCAGACCCATGACTTACAAATCTGATTTATCTTTTTTTCTTTTCAAGTGATTGGTTTTAAATTCTGAGGGGGCGAAATTTAGTACACAATGATTTAAGCCTACCCTAATTTTTTTCCAAGTCTTTTATTATTTCTGTAGGTTAAGTTGCAATGAAATATTTATTTTTCTAAAATTGTTTTGATTGTAACTCTTCACAGGAGATAACTTTTTTGGCATTACTTTAATTAATAAAAAGTCATGATTTGTCTCTAATTGTTTTATGCTGGCAAAGATTACCAAAAATAGTTTTATCAAAGAAAGTAATTTTATCAACTTAGTTGCTGTAATACTATTTGCCAATTAGTCATTAAATACAAATAATTTGTGCAGTGTATTATGCTAGACACTTGTGAGAAGGGTTTAAGGTGATTTATTGCATAGCTGGGTTCTGTCCTACCCAAGTATCTCCACTGACACTAGTCATGAAGATGAGTTGTACAGGACATTTTGAGACTAGTGAGCAGGCCTACTTAGGTAAAGACCAAAAGCAACATTTGTACAAAGGCTGAAAAGCAGCTGGGCCAAGGCCGTGGTGAGCTTGGGATGGATAAAGAATTAGCATTTTAATCTGTCTTTTATCTTCTCAACTAAGACTTATGGAGATCCAATGGGAGGTGTGTCACACATTGCTCATCTCTGATAATAGGGTGCCAAATTATCGAACCTCAAGGAATAATCATATGTAGGAACCAGGGAGAGGAAGACAGTCCCCACAGGGAGCAATGAGGAAGCCAGAGATGTAAGAGTGGGGATGGTGTCAGAGAAGGCACAGGTGAGCAGGTTCAAGGGCAGAAAGGTTCAAGGAGACAAATCCTGCAGAAAGCCCAGAATAGTTAATGAAGAGAAGGACGCTGGTGACTTGTGTATCTTTTCATTTTCATATTGCTGTGGGTTGAGAAAAGACTGGATATTGGAGAAATGCAAGAAAGGTCTGAGTCACCCTTTAGAGAAGTTTGGCAGTGGAAGGGAGATGAGAAACAGCATCAGTCAAGAGCACCACGTGGACATTTTAAGATCGGAGAAAATAGCCTCTGCATTTATATATACTGTTGTAGTGCTGAAGAAATGAAGAACACAATATTTTGCTTTACACCGACTCATTCAATGTAAATTCTACCATTAGCTTCATTATCACCTTATCCATTTCCTTTTTTTCAATGTCTCATCAAATAAGAGAAATCTTACATTGAACAAAAGTAGAGTTCAGACTTTGGGACATTATTCTCTGAATAGCCAACTAAAAATTTGGGTTAATTACCAACTAACACAATATATAGTCTATCTTATGACTTTGTTGATTTTTTTTTTTTGGTTGTTG